AGAGTTCCGTACCCTACCCCTGGTAGTGTAGGCAATGCCAATCTCCTCCACCCTGCTGTATCGCATCAAGTATTAGCAGGAGGCCCATACAGCATCCATACAATCAGTGAAGCCACTACACCCATTTCTGTTATTAACCAAGACTTACCAAGAGTTCCTTACCCCTCTCCTGCTAGTAGCTGTGACGCCCCACTACTACCCCCTGGTATCACCGTAGACCCTGCACTAAGACAAGCTCTGCCTGTCGTATCATCAAAGAATAAAACCACGAATAAGTTCTCGTCGTTTGATAAGCTCATGGATGCCTTAAGAGACTCGTTTCCTGACCATTCAAGGTAATAAATTAAGTTCTCTTTCATTGTCAAAAATCTCCCGAAAAAGCCAAAATGGCGGCTATGACGTAACAACACCCCAAGAATCCAGATAAAAGAAACTGAGCTGGAAGCGGTGTTTTAAGGTCGTGAAATATCGTTAATATAAAAACGATGGGAACTCGATAAACTTTCTTGCGTATATTGACCCTAACAACCATATAACTGTTAGATAATTCCCACGGGGAGAGGGTATTTACGATTACCAACTTAAAGTAGAACTCAAGGGGACTTGGGGTGGAGATTCTCCCTTTATTATCATCCCAGCCAACACAAGTATACCTCTCCCTTGGGTCTCGAAAAAGACTTCCACGTTGTCCAATAAATGCACACTGAAAAGGAAGTAAGATGAATTCAAATGAAGAAATAGAAAACGCGCGCGTGCTGTGCGCAGTTACAAAGCACGCAGGGGTTGGCAGAACACGATAGAAGCACGTGGGAGAAGCACGACTTAGCGAGTGGCTTTTCGACACTTCTCGAGGGTTTTGCCACTCCCCGAATGCTTTATGACTTCGCACAGCACAGCAAGCAAGTTTTTTTCTCTTATAAAGTACAAATTACAATAACCGTTTTTTAGTTAGGAATGACGCCACTGAAAGTGCGCGCGCGTGCTGCGTGCTATCATAAAGTATACGGTCCCAACCAATCAGAACGCGAGATTTATAACAGTTATTTTATAATACCTTTTTTTCGTAGGCCGTCATTGATGGTTTACCTCAAGAAAGCCAAGGAGGCGTTTGGCACTAATGGCTTCAAGGGAAAGCAGATATCGGAAATAGTTGACAAAGTTTCCCAGGTTATCGACCAGGAATAGGTAATAATAAAAGCCAGTTAGAAAGACTAAGGACTAGACTAGGGAAAGAAATCTACTGGGACGACCCAGATGATATTTTCAAATTCAACTTGTTAATATTTGTTGCGGGTAATGCTTCCTTGTGACATTTTGTGATGTGTTTCTGGACGAAATTTTTCGCCTTTTCGTTACTGTTTATTATATCTATTTAGGTATATCAGAGGACAACAAATACCTGGTTTGTCAAATATAGATTTAATATTTGTTAATTATCAATTGACACGGTTTTCTTTGTTATTCACAAGGCTTTATTTTTGTTATGACCCTTTCACAAACAATAGACAAATTAAAGTTTGATATTTAGCAAGGGAGGAGCGGGGCTTATGAACTGAACTGAATTGCTCATTTTAAATGCTAGGTCAATGTTTAGATCTTATTAACCGAGCGGGAGGTCTGTACTGGATAATCTTGACCTAGGTCTGTACCCGACCGAGGTCAAGATTATCGCGTACAGACCGACCATAAGCTCGGTTGATAAGAGTTTTATTATATGACCACTTTTCATTGAAAAGGACAAAATGTTTTCGCCGTAAGATTAATATGCGATCGGACCGGTTAATACCAGAGAATCTAGACCAGTCYGCGATGCGATCTATCCAATCAGATTGCTCGATTTGCTAGTGTCCAGGCTCTAAGATTCACGGTCATATAATAAATATAGTTATTAACCGGGTTAATAGAGAGTTTTTGCACGACGTTCTTTCTAGGTACCGCAAACCTCAAACTACAGTTCGATGTCAGGCGTTTTGCGTCAAACTTTCGACATTTAGCAAGGCGTCATTAGGGACGGACCAATAGATAATTGATGGGGGGTTGCGTAAATCCCAAAAAATTATCGAGCAAGCGCTCAAACCTCAAAAAAAAATATCGTACAACCTCTTCTGCTAGAAGAAAAATATCGAACTGTACGCAAAAAAATAACGTGCAAAGGTTGAGTCAAAAAAATAAATATCATGCAACCAAATTTCCTGCAAACCCCCCCCCCCCCCCCCTGAATTATCTAATGGTCCATCCCTTACGAAGTTGTTGCTGTAAGAGGCGCCATATTAAATTTCATTCATGCCGATATTTTCTCCATGTTTGCGGGCAGGTTTCTGTATCTGATCCCTAGTGGTTAGTGGTAAGTTGCCCCGCTCGTGCAAGTTTTTTWAAATTTCAAATGACATTTGATAGAAAACTTTCTCAATTGATAAATAAAATACTTAATTACCGAGAACGTCGCAGGCCCGAGGACCTTTGGGATGTATATGGCTTATTGACTCCGTTCTCGGTAATTAAAGCTCTTACAAATGATTGGTGCCCGCACGATGTACCCGATAACCTGCTATGCTATAATATGATTTTCAGTACCCCATATTCATTGTAAATATATTTCCTTTACGGAACGATCGTTTATTACGTGATTTTGGAAGGAGGGTACAACTTTCAAAATAAACTGAAAGTGGGGTACATTTTTGCAGTTTTTAAGCTCTCAAGGAGCTTCCTAAGCAATTATACATATATTTAGGGGATACCCTAAATACTGTTTTCTTTTTACTTCAGAAAACCACGCCCTCCTGCGACACAAACGTTCGATCCCTTATATTTATCTTGTTTTGTTTTTGTCTTTCCAACCATTGACTCGATATATGTAAGTTATTTAAATCGGTTCAATAAAGACGCGTACTTGTGTAGTCTTATAAACTTTTCATTGTTCTGATGATTCAGTGTGCAAACAACACTCTTACGGCATGACAAACCAACGGAAGATTGTACCCAAGCCATACCAGGATGCAACGCATCAGCTATCCTATAGTAATTATATCTTGGTACAAAATCGATGAAAGGAAACATTGTCTGAGTTAAGCCTTAGTGATGTCACTTCTTGATCGTTGTGAAAGCCATTCAAAAGCTACAGAGCTACTTCGTTTATTAAAATTTAGATGCCCAACTGGTCTAGGGGGGGGGGGGGTTCCCCCTGGAAAACTATAAATAAATATAGCAGCTGGCAGCTGGCTGAATTACTGTTTTCCTCAAAAAGAGGCCTGACGCATGCCACTTTATGCATTGGAAGTAAGCCGATGTTTTTTTAGAGTGAAGGCATTTTTAAAACCCGTGAAATAAAAAATTCTAGTCAACTTGCAATAGTCAGACAAAAACGAAGGAAGACAATGGAATTAGGGTCTACTAATGTGTATTAGTTTAATATCTATTTTACAGGTTTAATGACTCACTCTAAGAGGCTATTGATAAATAACCTATCTAAATTTTAAAAGAAAGACGCGCAAAGATGGGTGTGAAATAGTCGGTAGTAGACTTGATCCTCCGACCTGTGGAGTTGTTTGTGTTGGCTCTGTGCTTCCATGTTTATTTTTCGGTCTCTTTGAGTTTCCTTCCTCCGAAAATACCTTTAATTTCTAGTTTGTTATGAAAAAATATATGCTCCAAAAAAGCCCAGCCACCTGTTTACTTTGCTAAGTGTGGTTTACCTGTGGATTTCGCGTTGCGCGCGTGCGTATCAAGATTTTCAAAATGGCGGACGAAGGACAAGTGCAAGTGCGATTTTTTACGAAACAAAAACGGTAAGCAACACTCTCTACGAACTATGAAACCTAGAATTAACAATACAGAACAAAGATGACCACATTGATTTGACAATTGTTAATTATATTCGCTATATGAAGGGAGAAGAGGAGCGTGTAAAATTTTGATATTTGCACGTGGTTCCTGTGTTGTTGTCTTTGTCAATCGTTGTTCGTTCTCCGGCTGAAATTTCGTATTATTTGTGTCTATTGGTATGGAAGCAGAAGAGCAAAGTCATATAATTCGGAAAACGATATTAATGATAGTTATTCAATAATTTGGTTTATTCAATTTTTGTTTGAACGGAAAAACTACTATGTTTTATATCGAGGGTAAAGGGTGACCTTATTCTAGGGCTGACTATTTTGCTTTTGGGGTACCGCATTACGAGAAAACAAAAGACTTGCTCCTAGCACTGAGGTCATTGTTTCTCTTATGTAAATGGCACACCTATATACCATTCATTTAAGGAATATAAAACCCATGTGCATGTCTCTGTACTGGGATAGAAACATGCTGGTTGCTGTAGAGCATGAGAGAAGCAAGCTTAGGAAAATGAGTAGTGGCCAAGTGTCTTTCTTGCTTCTCAAGAGCTCTACAGTTAACAGAGTGTTTATATTACATACATGTATATATTTGAATGAGCATTTCTCTGTCCTTTATATAAACATGTCACAATACATGTAGCCAGACAATCAGCTTGTGTGATACAGTATATCAAATATTTTATGATGTTTATACAGGTATTCCATACAAGACACTCCATTCTCAATACCAGCAAAAGCCAGCCAAGATGAGCTCAATTCCCTTATTAATGGCTTACTATCACAAATGGAAGATGGTAGGATCTCTTTCTTTTGCCTAGCCTATGACTATAGTATTATAATAAAACTAGTAGTGGCATCTCCCCTCTCCCCCTCCCCCCTCTACCTTCCCACTCCAAACTAACGTCCATGCATTAGGAAATCAATGGTGGTATAGTGCATGGTTGTTTCTGGGTTCAATCTGTGAGTTGGCCATTGATTTTATTTCGAACAACCTAGAGGTTGTTTCCAGGTTTGATCTGTGAGTTAGCTGTGCCCTTAGATCAGCCCAGAGATTGTTTCCGGGTTCAATCTGTGAGTTAGCTGTGGCCTTAGATCAGCCCAGAGATTGTTTCTGGGTTCAATCTGAGTTAGCTGTGCCCTGACTTTGATCAGCCCAGAGGCTGATTTGTGTCTTTAATCAAAAACTTAGCAGTTTTTGTATGAGTGGGAAATGATACTGAACTGTACTGAAGCCGTACCATATCTTGACGTAACCATAACTACATTTTATGATTGGGAGAATCACAAGGAGACAATGGGAAGTCATTTCAATGTTGTGGTATGTAGTACTGTATAGTGCTGTAATCAGTACCTTATGTTTCCCACTCATATGAAAACTGCTCTATTAAGAGAAAGTGCACWTGCAAATTAAGGTCTATATTCAGTAATTTTTAGAGAAAAGGGAAAATTAAACTTTGCAGTGATGCTTTTAAAGTTCTTTAGAATCTTCACATAACTTTTTTTTTAATTTTTAGAAAATACAGAAAGTGATGAAGATATGAAAGGAGAACTGCAGTTTGACTTTCTTATTGAAAATGAATTCCTTCAAGAAAATATACAAAAACACATGGAAGCTAAAAAGATATCCACAGTAAGGAATAATATTATTTTTATTACAATGAAACTTCCTGCCTTACTCCTATTGCTAAAAAAAAGGACTAAAGTCCTAAACTTCAGTAATGTTTCAAACGTTTTTATTCACTTGTTATATTCAATACACCCACACAGTCCCAACTAGTAACCACTAGTCATTCTTATTCACTCGTTGTATTCAACACACTCACACAGTCCCAACTAGTAACCACTAGCCATTCTTATTCACTTGTTGTATTCAACACACCAACACAGTCGCAACTAGTAACCACTAGTCATTCTTATTCACTTGTTGTATTCAACACACCCAACACAGTCACAACTAATAACCACTAGTCATTCTTATTCACTTGTTGTATTCAACACCAACACAGTCGCAACTAGTAACCACTAGTCATTCTTATTCACTTGTTGTATTCAACAAACCCAACACAGTCACAACTAATAACCACTAGTCATTCTTATTCACTTGTTGTATTCCACACACCCAACACAGTCGCAACTAGTAACCACTAGTCATTCTTATTCACTTGTATTCAACACACCAACACAGTCCCAAATAGTAACCACTAGTCATTGATGAGATGTTGGTATGGCTATGGTGAAATTCGGAAATTTAAAATGTAGAAGCCATAAGTTATGAAAAATCCCACAAACATTGCTTGTGAAATGAATAAAAAATTGCAAAGACAAAAAAAGTGTAAGACTATAACTACATTTACCTGGGGATTGCGAGATTTCTCTTTTTAGTAAGATCAAAGACTGTAATGAACCTTTGAAAGTCTATGTGTTTGTTTATTTGGGATGGGGGCTAGACATTTTGTGGGGTGTGGGGCAGGGCAGCATAGGGTACACATCTTCACAGCTCTGGCAAACATGGTGTATAGTATCATCCATTAATAATAAGTCTTGGTTTTTTTAAATAGGAAAATGTTGTAGAGATAGAGTACATATTAAAGCTTCAAGCACCAAGACCAGATAATATTCTTGTGCATGATGACTGGATTAGTTCTGTATCAAGCTGCTCTGGGTGGTGAGTATGTGTCTCATTTATATTCCTGTGGCACAAATTTTTGCATGTGCAGACTACAATTCTTATATCTGATGGCAATAGACAATTTTTCCAAGATGCTCCAGTTCTCAATGAATATCACAGTTGCAGACATGAAAACAAGGCATTTTGGGTAGAGATACGAAACCTTTGGAAACTATAGAGATATAAACCATTTCTAATATTTTGCTATACAAACCAAATACATGTGTAAAATTTGAAAAATGTTAATTTCTAAAAAAATCTTAAATTTGTTTGTATTTTGTTACAACAGTATACTTACAGGAAGTTATGATAACAATGTAAATATTTGGAATTATCAAGGTAAGTGCAAAGAAGTTACAATGTAACAATGACAATAAAACAAATTAGACACATTTCAGACCATGTGTCATTCCCTACAGTATCATTTCTTTGTTTAACATTTGCACATGAGATGACATGTGAATATAGATACAACTTAGATGAAGAATATTATTCTCAATGGAATCCTAGTTAATGGTTCCCTGCTAGCAGAGCCTATTTTCTTTTTGTTTTGGTTGAGAGAGAAAAATAGACTCTGCCGATGTAGGATGTTATTTCTGTCGCGCATGTGTGGCGTAACTTAGAAACGCTGTCATGATTTTGACAGCCGCTCTCATCAAACAATGTTTGGCGCCACAGTGTCTTTCATTTGCTCATGCGCACTACATGTAATCGGTTAAAAACCGGTTTTAAAACTGGTTTTGTTCGTCCACAATCATGGACGGCGGTGTATCAAAGGAAACACTCTACATCGGCAGAGTCTCCTTCCTTTTCACCTGAAAGAAGGGAGAGAAAGAGAAGAGAGACTCTGCTAGCAGGGAAAGTTAATGGTGCAGAATGGTTGGGAAACCTACTGTTCTAGGTTTTTGTTCAACTTAATATATCCATCGTTATATGACGTTGACGGTGCACAGAGAAGGAAAAGTTGCTCCATTTGTTTACAGTATTAGGGAATATAGAAGTTCTTTTCCCAAAAAAATCATTCTTAAATAGTTATTATTTGTTAATTAATCCTATATGATTAATATTAATTTTTATTGAAAAAAAAGATCACCTTTTTCCATGCTTTTTTATTTATCATCTAATAACTTAACTGTATCTACACAAAAATATTTATTCACATAGTTTGTGTTCATCAAATGAAAGTTTTCACCTTCAAAATGTTCATACATGAAAATAATGAGAAAATGAGTATTTTTTTGTTTACTTGCTTTGGTTCATTGTGCACGGTCAGAACCACGTGATGGTATGGTTCAACCTCAAATGCAAAACAATAGCTTTATTCTATGAAATTTCCAAACCATTCCTCTCCATTAACTATGATAGAATGACACATGGTCTTCTATGGGTAAACATTATACCATTAATCTAATTAGGTCTATTGCTGGGTTCTGATCAGTTGATAATAGTCTTTTGATTTTCATTATCTGTTCCAAATGTTGGTCAAACACTGACTATAGTACCATGTTCTATCAGAAGGGCCAACTGAGGGGGCCCCTACTTTTTTCCTTATCTCATACAACAACAACAACAACAACAATAATTTATTTGGCACTGTATACTAAAGGTGAATAGGTGTTTTTCCACATAATCAAAAAATTATGAAATATATTATTTCAATTTCTGACGTGTAGAGTGTAAACAATATATCCGTGAAACTTTAGTAATACTAAATAGCACAATTTCATGCAAATTCCATTGTTTTCTATATGTATGTTATTTTGGATAGGTGATTGTCTAAGCACATATGTTGGACATTCTGGACCAATCAAAGCAGTAAAATGGATATCAAAAGGTAAATAACCTACTGCTTTGAGTTAATTCAATGGTAGTTATCTTGCTTTGTCAACCAATAGACCCCTTGCATGTGATGTCAAAGCAGCTCGATCTGGGGGACAAAACAAAAGAATTCCATTCTCCTGAGAATTGGAACCTATTGTTTTGTCCCCCAGATTGAACTGCATTCTGACGTGGATCTATATGGCAGCCATGGACAGAATTGAAATATAACTTTTCTTCTAGACTGACTGTCCTCTCAACATATGGATTCTCTCTTACATGTGGAAATGCCCTTATGTTTCCATGTGAACATGAGACTTTAGTTAGTCCAGAACACTAGTTTATTCAATTGATCTCATTATTTTGATTTGGTGTATATATCTTAACTAATTATTTTTAATTCTTTTCCTTGACCACTGTTTTTATAGAGTATTCAAGTGATGACATCACAAAATACAATTTTCACCATTTACACACCAAATTTAATGAGAATCGCACAATGATATTATCAGTTGAGATATAGTCATTTGAATATATAATTACTCCATACAAATCACTGTATTTTCAGCTTAGTTCAAAACGTTTGGAACCCAGCCAAAAATACAGTGATTTGTATGGAGTAATTATATATTCAAATGGTCATATCTCAGCTGATATTTGACCAATTCTCATCAAAATTGGTATGCAAACGTCTTTTCTGAATGTCTATAGAAATTAGGGATAGTAAACAATTAAAGCCAAAATTTATTTTTTCGTGAAGTCACACTTGAGTACTCTATTGCTATTAAAAAACCTCCCCAGAGTTGAAAAGCATCAATCAAAACATAGCAATGAAAACAGTGATTAAAGGTGAATGATAAAGAGCCAACCTTTTGCTTCTGTTTCAGATGATAAAGGAGGTGTTATACTAAGTTCGTCACAAGATCAGTCTATAAGAATCTCACAGGTAAGAAAAGAATAGTACACAAGAACTGATGACCATCAAATAAATTATATTCCCTTCATCTTGATTTTTTATACAGTCAATTCAACAAATGTTGTCGTCGACCAGCTGAAGCCTACGCGACTGGACCGAAAGGAACTCTGGGTAGCAATCATTGAAGCTGAGTTGACTCCATAATTTTATCTGACTAGTTATGCCTGGTTTACAGCACGAACCTTTGTAGGCGAGCGGAAAGTGTTGAAGGAGACTTTTTTTTAATGCCTTCATATTTTCGAAACTGTGAACTAAATCATAACTACTTTGTTTTTTCCCTAAACCCAAAGACATGCATTTGATGGATTGTTTCTGGCCATTATTATCTTATTACTAGCGGGAACAATGAATTCAGAACGAATATTTAACCGCTTCAGTGATTTTTACCCATATTCCTTTCGGTCCAGTCGCGTAGGCTTGAGCCGGTCGACGACAACGTTTTTTGAATTGACTGTATTAGCTAAACTCATCACAAGTAGATGAGCTTTGACATAGGTGCTTGGTAGTCGAGAGGTGCCTAGCTAGCTTGGTACTCTGCAGTAACCATAGCAATCCTGTCACATCCCACCTTACACCGTCACATTGACAAGTCTGTGAAATACTTACTCATACTTACCTAAGTGAATAGAGGGTGGGAAATCCAAATAGTATTGTGTAAAAGTATTAACTCGTAAACAAGCTTACAAAAATGAATATCATGTTAGTCCTCCTGTGAACCTTGTATCAAGTACTAAATATTTCCCAAATGATGCGCTTCTGTGATCATGAGAATGGCACATAATATGTAGCTCACAACTCCACTGGCAAGGCATCAGGAAGCCAGTGGGGTAGGGTAGGGCTAATAGTGACCCTAAACACCAAGTACTGCAAAGGCCACTTAGCTTTTAGACTGTGAATTGTCCCTCTATTTTCCTGTGGGACAACTTCCAAGCCCTCAACCTGGTCCACAGGGTCCTCTCAGCCCACTCAATATGGTCGTTGCGAAGACCCTGGTGTTGACTGGACTATTGCAAACAGTGATTGGTTTGTTTAGATGACCTTTTCACCATGATATTTGGTTTTTATTTTTTACATCCATTCGGAATATGTACTAGCAGCTAAGATTCCAGCCAACACCAGAGTCTTTTCCTGGACAACAGTCAGCCTAGAGAACCCTGGGGAGGAGGTTGCCAAGTCCCCTTCTCTGGGATATTAGACTCATAACCAATCCTTCCTGGCCAAACTAGCTAAAACACACCAGCAACTTGGCTGGACAGATAGTGACCAACGAAAATAGGGACTGTTTGCAGTCTACTTAGTTTTAGTTTAACTTTGCCTATATTTGATTTAACCACATTTTTTATTGTATTACAGTGGTCATCAAGCACCAATGAAGTACACAATGTACACATCTGTAAAGGACATTCACAGAGTGTAGACAGTATATCAGTTGATGCTTCATGTACAACAGTATGTACCAGAACTATCTTATCTTTGATGATAGTATTGATGACTCTTAAAACCCCAGCATTTATGGGCTAAGCCTCACTTCAGAGGTTGGTGAACAACGGCAGAAATTAGATTTACAAAATGCAACACCTGGATTCGACGCTAAGTCCACATACAATAGCCATGATCTGCTACTGAATCTCTATTTTAACTGTTTTTAATCTATAAGTATGATGAAGAGGATTGTTTTAATCTCTTTTATGTACTCTAGTTCTGTAGCGGTTCATGGGATAAAACAATCAAGCTGTGGTCAGCAGGTTAGTTGTAACTTAGAAGCAAATGAGACATTATTACTCCTACAGTAACTGTCATCATTATCACTGTCCATACCACCACCACTGTCATCATCATCATCATCACTGTCCAGACCACCACCACTGTCATCATCCTCATCACTGTCCAGACCACCACCACTGTCATCATCCTCATCACTGTCCAGACCACCACCTCTGTCATCATCCTCATCACTGTCCAGACCACCACCACTGTCAACATCATCATCATCACTGTCCAGACCACCACCACTGTCATCATTAACATCACTGTCCATACCACCACCACTGTCAACATCATCCTCATCACTGTCCAGACCACCACCACTGTCATCATCATCATCATCACTGTCCATACCACAACCACTGTCATCATCATCACTGTTCAAACCACCACCACTGTCATCATCATCATCACTGTTCACACCACCACCACTGTCATCATGATCATCACTGTCCACACCACCACCACTGTCATTATCAACATCATTATGTTTCTTCTATATGATCAGCGGTGATGATAATAAATCTAGAAATTTGTGTTAAGTTCTAGACCCTGAAGCATCAGATGAACCAGATGAAGAAGATGGCAGTTCAAAGAAGAGACAAAAGAAAAATACAACTAACAAGAAAGCCACCACGAGGGTAAGAATGCTGTGAATAGACCCCTTGCATGTGACATCAAAGAAGCTCAATTTGGAGGACAAAACGAAAGAATTTAAATCTCCTGAGAATTGGAAACCTATGTATGTCCTCCAAATTCTGCTGCATTCTGCATTCTGCTGCAAGGGGTTTACACTTCAATCCCCTATTATCCAAGTGTCATCTAGGAGAAGAGCAGTCCAGCAGCTAGGCAGTGATTTATTTTCTGTGGGTGATCCTACCTTTTTTCTTCACTTGTGAGTCTACTTTATTTTGCTTTTCTGTGTGCTAATTTTTATAGCATTTGTGCTTGCCCTAATTTACTTAGCTGCTCACATACTTTTTTCTTAATATAGTTAGTTTTCCTTATCCAGTTTTTTATGCTTATTTTTATGGATATTTAGACCCTGTCCACACTAATGCATTTTCGAAAGGCTCCATTTTTGTCTTGCCGAAAATGCATCGATTGCTTTGCGTCCACACTATCGTTTTCGACTGCCTAGACTAAAATGCTCGAAAGTGCATACATGTCTCTTTGTGATGTAATGCATCAATCTGTGCATGCCCAGCCGATGTTGATGTTTATAATTATTTAGTATAAACCTACTAATAGTCTGTCGGTTAGTACTTCATTTAAGACTACATGAAATGGCACTATTGGATTATTAATTATTTATTATTGATGATAACATCCTAAAACCCTAATCCAAACCCTAACCTTAACCATAACCAAATCCCCCCAAAAAACCTAACCTTAAACTTCATTACTATAGAATAGTGCCATTTCATGTAGTCTTACATGAAGTAATAAGGTGTCTATCACTAATCCTGCACTCTGATTGGCTGAGCTACAGTACTAGTGGTCTTTTAGTGATAGACCACTATTAGCAAAATGTAGCAGTTTAGAAAACTAAAACAACATAAGAAATAATTTATTTCAACCTTGGTTTTTATTTGACCTGTTAGTAGATTTATACTAAAACATAAGAACTCTTGCCCTCATGGTCTATGAGTCAATAGCTCATTCAGCCTCATGGGCTAATGACTTGTAGGTCTGAAGGTCTAATTGTTAAATATACATTGCTTTTTGTTCAGAGCATGTATTTCTAACTGTTTTATTGCTCTGTCCATAGGTGATTGAGCTCTGTAAGGGTGTCTTGTGTTCTATTGTTGTATCACCTTGGGATTGATGTTGGATCAGTTCCTAAATGCTTGTTTAAAAATGAAATTAAGGCCTTTTAAACTCAATGCAAAAGCGTGTTGTTTTTCCCCCAACAGACACCCCTTATGACCCTCTCTGGCCACACCCAAGCTGTATCCTCTGTTGTATGGATGGACAAGATAACTATCTGTAGTGCAGGATGGGATCATTGTATACGAGTCTGGGATGTAGTTGCTGGCATCAACAAGCAGACTTTGGTATGATTTATAAACAAGTTCTTGTCCAACGATTGCATGTCTAACGTCTTGTGTAGAAGTGCAACAACTTTTGGTTTTTTAATATCTTTCAACTTACTTTGTTTATCTGTCCATCCATCTCACTACATACCTGTTTCTAATCCTAGACTGGTTCCAAGGTATTCTGTAGTATTGCATATTCACCATTATCAAACTGTCTAGCATCAGGAAGTGCAGATAAATTCATAAGGCTTTGGGATCCAAGAATAAAAGGTAAGATCAAGTTCTTTCACAGATATAACCCAGGATAAAACAATCTAAAAGGTCAAATAGTCCCTTTTACAGTTCCTGGCATCACCTTGAAAGGTAGCCGTGCCTTTGCATTGAAGCAAGATGAACAGTGAGCTTGCAACGATAGAGAAGTGAATAATAATTGTCAAATGTGTTAAAAAAGGTCTCTATCGTTGCAAGCTCGTCATTCTTCTTGCTTCGATGCAAAAGCATGGCTACCTTTCAAGATGGAACAGGGAACTGTGAAAGGCACTATTGGCATCTAGCATGCTAGACTTTGTTAAAGGAGGAAAATGGAAGAGAAGAAATGAGAGAAAAGCCCATTTATCATGAAAGAGATAACTAGCTAAAAGTTAGTGTGAGCTGCATCAGTGTTTCTAATGAAATAGTAATGATAAAAAGGTAAATTAGACACTGTGAAAAGATGAAAAAACAGTGTATAATTTACCTTTTTATCATTACTGTTTCATTAATCATGGAAGTTGAGTCCAGAAATCAATCAGTGGTGAGATTACCAGGACTTTCTTGCTTCCAAGTTGACTGCTGGTTACTTTTTCTTTTCTATCAAAACAATATCATTCATCTATCAGATTACAGCCAGCTGCTTTAGACTTATGATCACCTACTCCAAAACATTCTGAAAGCCCTGGATGACCACCCTTGATTCCAATGTTACGCTCAAGACTTCTTGCCAGTTGATACTTTATTTATATTTGTGTCCACAGATGGACAGGTTGTAAAAGGCAGCCTGACCTCACATCAAGGTTGGGTGTCGTCATTAGTATGGTCTCCCACTAATGAGTTTGAACTTGCATCAGGATCCTATGATACTACTGTTAGGTTATGGGACACTAGAAGGTAAGCCATTGCCGAGCCCAGTAATATGTTTCCATGTTTTCATTACCCTGAAATCCCAGCAGGGCTCGAAATATGAATTTTTATTAGCCTGCCATAATAAAGAAGCATCGTAAAAGGAGGTCATTCCAGTAAATGTTGCATGCCATTTTATTATTCATTTGGCAGCACATCGTTATTTTTGCCTGGCAAGACTGAAATTTGGCCTGTCATTTGGCCATTGGCAGGCCGGTATTTTGAGCCCTGCTTAGACACTCCTCTGAAGCTGCTAAAAGAAATTAGAGCATAACAGGCAACACAGAGAGGGAGAGCTGGGGGACTTTAGCCTTTCCTTTCTTTTTGCTGGAGAGGGATTATATTTGGCCCATGAAATGAAGCTGTAGGGTTAGTGACTAATGGTCAAAGCAAAACAAAACAAAACAAAGGAATTTCTGTCTACTTGAGTTCAAACCATATATCCATCAAAATGGCACAAAAACTAAATAGCAGGCAGTCCTTATACCCCACTTTACACCATGACTGAACACCAAGATAAAGTCATGTGCTCGTAATATTTACCTATTATGCATGGTCTTATTTGATATCCAAGCCCATCCCACATGGCTTACTGCCTCATCTATCTAGCAATAAATACATCAATTACTTTTGTTTTCAATTGTTTCATTGGTGCTATTTTGTATGTATTAGTTAGTACTATTTCATGGATGTATGTATTGCACTCTACTATGTATTATACCAACATGTACTTTTTTCACTAGCCAAATAAAAGCCCTCTTTATTCCATAACACTTTCCAGTTTAAACCCCCAACTTCTCGTTTTCTACGTACTAGTTTTCTGTTTTTCATATTTAGGCCCCTTCCCCTATAACTGTGAGGTCTTCGCTTGAAGCAGAAAAAAGCCTTCATTATGATATAGAATTCTGCAAATTCTTGTAAAGAGTTAAAATTATACATTTTTGCCGACAGTCCTTATACCCCACTTTACACCATGACTGAACACCAGGATAAAGTCATGTGTATTGACTGGAGTAAGTCTAAGGTAAGCCACTGTTGCTTGATGTTGTGTAGAGTAATCTTTTGAGGGAGTGGGTGGTTGGTTAGAAAGAGAAATCATGGTCAAAAAAATAGGTCAAAGCACTGATAAATCAGCTGCCATGTGGAAAGCGTAGGAAGCACATAAGGTGTGCTCTGCCTATACCACTGTAGTCATAGGTTCTCTCCTCAGACCTGCCATTTTGTGCAAGTAGAGTTGTTTGTTAGATCTTTGGGGTGGGGGGGGGGGTGGGTGGAATACTAAGGGCCTTCTGGTAGGGTTTGCATTTCCTTGCTTTAGTTTTGTGGCTGCTTTTTTAAATATAACTTTTGCACTCTGAGTTGGACTGAACAGGTCTAGGATCCAATCATTACTAGGCAACTGATAGATTGAATTAGAATTTTGTGGTTGATTTTTGTGGAGGGAGGAAAACCGGAGAACCTGGAAATAACCCTTGAAGCACTAGAGAGAACCAACAAACAACTCTACTCACATATGACACCAAGCCTGGCAGGGCTCAAACCTGCATTGCATTCTTGGTGAAAGGCGAGCAAACTCACCACTACACCAACTGTGCTTTGCAATTTGCAAATTGCTTATCATTGACAATGAGTTTTAAATCTTTGCAGAATGTACTGAGCGGTGGAGCAGACAACCAGTTGATTATCTATGATGTATCTGCTAAAAGTTGTAAAGCACCAGCACAGAGTGAAGGGGATTCTCAATGACCTACATGACGGGTCTCTTGGTTTGTTAGATCAAGATGACCTCTTCTAGATTTACTATTTTAATAATTTTATTTTCCTCTTCCAAAAAAGCAACAGTAACTGAAATTGGATATTCTGGTTAAGTAGCTCAGCACAAAACAATCTGAGTTGCGGCTCTGGGGAAACAAAAGAATAATCATGATTACGCTATTGTTCCCCTGGAGCCTTGAATCAGATTGTTTTGGGCTTGATCACTCAGCCAGAATATCAAAAGTTGGCTATTGGTTCTTGTCATTCACACAGATTCTTTTTGAATACACGTCAGTATGTCTTTAACATTTGTGGATTGCAAAGGCTATATCCTTGAAACAGCACTAAAATTATTTTACTTGGCCAGTGAAACAAGGTTTGATTATTAGTGACTACAAAAACTACGTCAAAATAAAACAAGAAAGAGAAAGCACACAAAAAAAACCAATGAAGTTAGTCTCTGGTACTATTTATTCTACAATGTAGGAAATACAGCCAATCAGAATGCAGGAAAGCCATCGTATATTCATTGGCATTACACTCTTCCTTCCCATCATGCATCGCACAATGAATGTACAAATGTACTATCTGACAATATGAAACGTGTTATAAGCCTTCATTACTTTCTGTCAGTGCAACAATAATTTATGAACATTCCACGAGTGGTATCACTAGATACATCTGACATACTTACGATGTACCATTTATATGTCGACTTCTATGTTCTATGTTTTTGTACTAGACAATGATTTTACAATAGACCCTAACCCTATACCTGAAGCATGATGACGTTTTATACCTACACTTCCAGAATCCTTTTCAGTAGCTTTTTTTTATGCTAATATTCACAATTGTTTTGGTATTCTCAAAATAGTTTTAACATTTGAATAAGAAAAGAGATTTTGATTGTGGTACAAATAGACTTTGTATTTATACATCCGGGCCTGGTTGTACAAAGGAAAATCTTAGAATTCTTATCCAGTGGATAAATTTATTGGATATCAGCAGTGACTTATCCACTGCATAAGGATTTATCTGCTGGATAATGCTATCCATCCTTCGTACAACAGCACCCAGAGAAGAATTATGTCATTTACCAAAACACATTTTGGTTCTTTATTCAATGATTTTGCAATTGGGTGTAACCCAGATCATTCTCCTTTGGGTCTAACACTCTATTGTAAGTATTTGCATTCTACGAAATATATTTAGATCAGTACCAGTAACTAATAAAATAAAAACTTATGATTTTATTAGCTGTAAGATTATTATATTGTAGTTATATAATCATGGGCTTCTTTGATTTAGAGATTGAGGGGAGAGGAGTCCGAAGATGTTTGTTGCAACATGATTAATCCCACCCGCCCCTAGAGGTACTATATTTCTTTATGTCTATATGATCTCCCTTATTAGTGGTTGCTAATGAGTGATTGATTCCTGTCAATATTTACCTGATCCTCCAGTAGTCTAAAAAACATGTGACCCCCCCCCCCTCCCCTTCCTCTCAAAAAAAACCTATAACCCCATGCAATAAAATATGACTTGTAAAAGCAAATGCCTTTTACTTAAAAAGTGCTGCGTAGTATTTGTTACTCAGATATGGTGTGCGCTGTATCCGAGCCTCTGCAATCTTCATAACTCAATAACCACCATCATAGAAGTGGAATAAGAGCAGAGTGGAAAGAGAGGAAGAGTTGGAAGAAAAATGGGAGTGAATATTTAGAGAGAAAAAGAAAGGAAGTGGGATTTTGAGGAAGGAAGAGGTTTTGCACCATCACGTGCCCACGCCCATAATACAGCTTCAGCTGCCTGTGGTTGGATGGCAGAATAATAAAATCCCATTGCTCTCGGGAATTGAATTCTTTCTCACGTAAACTGATTGTATTGTTCCTGCCATCTAACATTTCTGCTATCACATGATGGTACAAAACCTCTGGCAGATTTTTTTGTAACGCAATGTAAGAAATGTAAGAGTATGATGAACATATAGTCTCCTACGCAGCCGCTATTAGTGTCGTCACGCCACGCTCACTCTCCCAAGTAGCAGCGGGAGTGAGGGTTGCGTGACGACACTAATAGCGGCTGCGTAGGAGAATAGTGAAAGTAAAGCTTATGCGTTATTGACGCATGTGCAAGGGATAATCATGAGGTTCCACGTCAGTCCCACACGTGTAAGATTCTTGAGTAGAGTCTAGTATGGACTCATTTCGTATGAACAAAATAATTGAATATTGGCGGATGTTCTATAGATTTTATGGATATCGTGAGAGGTATTGATATAATGGACATTCCCGAGACATGAGTTTTTGTGCCAGAGAATTTGGGAATGTTATACCCAAAGTATTTATTTCTTACTGTGGCATGCGAAAGAAGGTCTTCTGGGTAAGAGATTGAGGTCTTGAATAAAGGACTGAATATACTAAAAAATTTATTATGCAAGGCAACGTTTTCCAGTCCGGACCTAATTTAGGACGATAAATAGCTTATTTATATTTTGCCAATAACTTAATTATTGTTGGGGAATTGAATTGTCATTTATTGAATTACGCATGTGCAGTTTCAATTTCACTATAAGTAATTTCACGTATCACTATGCATCCCACATTGCAAAACGTAAATGAGTTGACCCTTACCCCGATTCTATATTCTCAAGGGAATTAAATTTCAGATCATTTTATTCAATTACGCATGCGCGGTTTCAATTTCGCTGTAAGTAAAGAGGCGTAACACTTGCATCACACATTGTAAAGCGTAAATAAGTTGACCCTTTTCCAGCCTTAATACTCTCAAGGGAATTAATTTTCACGTCATTTTATTTAATTACGCATGTGTGGTTCCTATTTCGCTGTAGTAAAGAAGCGTATCACATGCATCCCACATCATAAAACGTAAATCAGTCGACCATTTACCAGCTTTTTTAATCCCAAGGGAATTAAAAATTCAGGTCGTTTGCTTGAACTACACATGCGTGGTTCCTATTTTGCTGTAGGTAAAGAAGCGTAACATATGCATCCCACATCATAAAACGTAAATCAGTCGACCATTAACCAGCTTTTTTAATCCCAAGGGAATTAAAATTTCAGGTCGTTTGCTTGAACTACACATGCGTGGTTCCTATTTTGCTGTAGGTAAAGAAGCGTAACACATGCATCCCACATCGTAAAACGTAAATCAGTCGACCTTTTTCCTGCTTTTTTAATCCCAAGGGAATTAAATTTGAGGTCGCTTTCTTGAACTACACATGCGTGGTTCCTATTTTGCTATAGGTAAAGAAGCCTAACAAATGCATCCCACACTGTAAAACGCAAATCATTCGACCGTTTACCTGTTTATTTAATCCCAAGGGAATAGAATTTATCGCAAAKTTTTCGTACTGCTCATGTGCGGTTTGGATTTGAGCAATGAAAAAAATAGCATCCCATATGGTTAGTGAGGTCGATATTATAGAGGTAGATGAAATTTTTGCGTTCAGGGAGGTTGGTTGGGGACGATGGAGGCTAAGACTCTAGACTCTAGACACTTAGACACTTAGACAACTTAAAACAAACATTTAGTATCTATCCAAGATTCTTAATAAGATTCTTAAGGGGTCGGATCAAAAGTACCCCCTTTGAAAAAAATCCAAAAAAAAAAAAAGTTTTTTTAAAAATCAAAAATCAAAATGTTTAAAAATCAAAAATTAAAATCAAAAATATATAAATCAAAAATCAAAATCAAAAATTAGAATAGAAAATCAAATTCAAAAATCAAAAGTCAAAAATTAGGGTTAGAACCCTAACGCAAACCCTAATCAACTAGGGTATGTGCTAGGGTTCTAACCCTAACTTTTGGTTAGGGTTAGGGTTAGAACCCTAGCACATTACCCTAGGGTTTTAACCCTAACTCAAGGTATCACTTAACCACTAGTATTAGGGTTATAAACCCAACCCCTTTTGGTTATTTAATTACTAAACTCAAATTCATTTGTAACAAATGCTTTTATTCAACTTTATACAACAAATATACAGTAATTGTTAAAGCTATGTTTTTCTATTATTTATCAAACCAATTGAAGTATATAGAATCCAAAGTTTTTCAGTATATAATTTCTCAAAGTTGTCAACCACGTGTCATCCGCAACACCCATTCAGATGATCATTATTCTCATTGAATAATGAATAGCACTAATAATACTCTTACGAATATCATTATGATACGGAACCTATGTACTGCAATAGTACAAAACCATTCCGTCTCACTAGTACTAGAAGTAATCAACAATTACATGTCCTGGTGAAATGGTGCACTGACATCTCCTTTCAAATGTGGGATGAGTCGATGCTCGTCTAATATATAGCGCTCATTAGTACTCTACGCATGCTCATTAAGGATAGTTTGTCATAACAGATTTGACAGCTTGATTCCCAAGTGTATGTCAGTATCAATGCATACTTTTATTCACGAGATTTGTCGCATAAATGATCTGTTATTTTACCAAATAAGGCAAAAAGTTTGGGAGCCTGCTCATGCTCACGTCACGCATTAAAAATATAACATCTGGAATGCGCCCCTTCTGATTTCCCTTCTTTGATAAACTTTGAAAGCATTAGAGTAAGTTGTTTCGGTTGTAATAGTCCCTTTTTTTATTCGTTGAATACTCTAGTTTCGAGTTCTCTTTGCTCAGCCTTAGTCTCGGTTGTGCGTTAAAATATTCAGCTATTCAACCAAAACCCGTGGCATTTTAATCAACTTGTATTGTTCCGTAGTACGTGCATTCCTTATCATACAATGGACCTTAATAAAAGAAAAGAACACGTTTGTGCACAATAGATCCTAAGACTGAGGAATGGGAGTACTTTGCTATGAAGCATTTGCATGTACGTCATAGTCGCCATCTTGGTTGACGTTAACGAAGCATTATTCATTAGCTTCTCTTGTTAGATCAACCAACATGGCAGATTTTTCATTATTTATATGAAAAAAAGGACTATTTAAAATATATTCTTTTAAAGGAATAAGAACGAAATGTGTCTATTAGGGAATCATTTTATTTTCAGAGCCATACTTCTTCTTCATCTTGTCCTTCATCTGAAAAAAAAACCCCAATAAATAGGGATTATATATATGATTGAACGTTTAATACGTCATCTCTATCCATTTGCGAGTACAGAAATCAGTGGTTGTTCTTCACTCACCCGGAACCTTTCATAGGTTATCAATACTAATTATAGTAATGACGTACAGAATATTAATTCTGTTACCATATAAATCCCTTAAAACGAATTATGACTTGTAACCATAACTATGAAAACCTTCTCGCAATACACAGATCAAAATAATATATTTGATGTGATGTCTATATTAATAAACGTTTTTTAATAATTTATATCCTATATTTATGATATAAAAATATTTGTGCCTTTTTGGTCATGATCTTGTGAGCATGCGCAGAGCCCATTCTCGTACCCAGAGCTCCTCGGTTTTGAGGTAGAAGAAACTTGTGTACACCGAATCGAAATATGGCGAGCCATTTGAATAACTATTGTTCTGCACTGATTAGCGACTGGATAGCCTCGTGTTCACGTTTTCACATGTATGAAAGGCTAGTCAGTCATTAGCCAGTACAGAACAATAGTTATTTTTAAAATACACCCTACAAAATTATTCGATTCTAATTTGACAAGAGAAGTACAATCAAATCCCAAATTGTACTCTGTAGAGTACAGATTTTTTTTGCTCAATTTTGTCATAAACAAAAAATCGCACAATCTTCTTGTACAATTCGGAATTTATAGATACTCGGGATTTTTTGAAAAATTTCAAATTTGAATCGCCGAAAGGAAAACTTTTTTAAAACATCAATATCCGAATAGGCCTTTTTCAATAGATTGGCACGCGATTGTTACTGGATGGCAAAAAAATTTGGACTTTCTTTATTTAAAATTTTTTTGCTGGATTATTAATGTCGCATCCAAATCTTTTTCAAAAATACTTTTTTCCCTTATAAGATACTTTCGATTTCAAGATATGATGGAGTTTAAAGTTTGTTTGCCATCCAGCAGAGCCTTCCCCAAGGGACCTTGAGCTGAATTGATTCGTTAGTAAAGTCATATATCAGCACGTGACTGTTTGTTGCAAAAGGCCTTTTGTACTCGAGATCGTGCGCTTTCCGATTCAAATTGTTCGCAACTCGAACAAAAAATCCTAATTTCAAGAGAATGACACGTGGTCTATTGGCATCTGAGGCTTGTCTAAGCTATCTTAGTTGACATTGAACACTGTAAAATATTAAAGCACAGAAAAATGAATCACCAACAAGATTTTAGGCCTAGCAGGAAATTCCCAAAGAACTAAGCAGCTTGATTTGAGGGATAAAACTTATTGTACACGTCTGCACACATTTTTGTTTTAAATTTAGAGATGAATGAAAAATGATGCAATCAAAAAAAAAAAAAGGAACCTTATTGATTTTATTAATTCATGATTAATTTAAGAGAGTAAGGCGTCCCGTGACTTATCCAATAAAGTCTACATAAGCTCACTAATTAACCAGACTCCCTTATCGAGGCCTGGAGAATTACGTGGACTACAATTTTAGCATCTGGTTATTTTGGGACCTACTTGGTCACGTGGGCGTGAACCAATCACGTAAAGCCTGACGCAATTTATTCAAAGTTCTTAGATTTTGGGAGGATTTTTTTCGTAATTTATTTGAAAATGTTTTTATCTAAATGTAATAAAAAATAGAAAGTGGTTGTTGTGACTGGACTGCGTTGCATGAATGAGTGTCAAGTTATCGTAAACATCGGTCTAGGCACCTGTCTTGTTTACATCAACATCAGTACAAATCCAAACTACATCACCTGTATTTTAGCGTCTTCGAGATTCAATTAAGTACAAAAGTAATCAAATATTTCATTTTCATTTTGCAGTAAAAATATTGCTTTTATGAGATTATGGAACCTTTTTTGAGATGGATTATTCTTAAGATGCCTTAAAAGAAGTGCTAGAATGTACTGGGGCGTCGATACGGTAATAATAAAGGACTTAGAGGTAGCTCATGTAACACTTTTAGAAAATCCCCCAGACTAGATAGGATGGAAAAAAGCTTGATGTTACGCAATATCATTAGTGGTTTCGTTAGGTATATTGGAAAAATACTTAACTTTAAGCAACACATTTGTTCATGCTGGGCGTGAGCATAATATCTAACGCTCAAGGAACCCCGCTTTGAATTGTACCGCGCGCTAAATCATGTGGTAATCAGAGATCCAATCAGAGTTTTCTCATATGAAGCACTCGAGAGAGAGAGAGAGGGTTGGTCAGCCTTATTTGAAGGTGGGAAGGTCGCCTACAGAGTTGCAACCTGTGGTTTCTGATTGGCTAAGGGTTTTTTAGTTTTTGTTTGGCTTGGAAGAAGACCTGTTGAATTTTTTTTGTGCATTTTCAGCGCGTCTTTCCTATTTGAACAAAACTATACGACGAAAATCCAAATACTTTTGCCAGTCGATGGATTTTGGAATCAAGAATCAGTGGTTCTAAACTGGAACAGAAACAGACAAGTTTAATATGGAGATCTTGAGTGCTTTTTCGTCACTTTTTAAATCAAACCTTCGGGTGTTTTGCATTGCTCTGTTTTACGTAACTTTACTCATTTTTCCGAGTGAACAAAACATTATCGAGGTATCAGTACCTGAAAACAAACCAAGTGGATTCGTAGTTTACAGATTTCCATCACCAAAAAGTGGAGAAGCGTATCAGTTGTATGACTCACGCTACACCGACTCTCTTGAACCTTTGAAGCTCTTCCAAATATCATACACTGGTATACTAACAACAACCCAGCCGCTCGACTATGGCCAGGACGGCAAAAACACCTTTGAGCTTACAATTGTACTTCGTGAACGGGGGGAAACGTCTGGTGGAAAAGCATTCACTCTCCAAGTCAAGGTCACTGATAACAATAACTTCGTACCAACGTTTGGTTTTCGAACTTATAATGGAACGATAAAAGAGAATTCTCCAGCGAATACTAAAGTGCAAGGTATTGTCAATTGTCATGCGGAGGATAAAGATTCACACGGAATAAAAGGATATAAAATTATCGATGGGAATGAGAAGGGATATTTTGAAGTGAATACTGTGACGGTTGAAGACGAGAAGTTCTTGGAACTCAAAACTACGAATGTACCGATTGTGAAAACCAGTGGAAATGTAGAGAAAATTACGTTGATAGTCGAGGCTGAAGACAGTGGTAACCCGAGTCTAAAAGGGGCAACAAAAATCGTTATTACCATCGAACCGACCAATAAAAATGCGCCTAAATTCGAGAAGGCACACTACACAGCGAATATCAGCGAGGAGATACCGCTCATGTCAACAGCTGTGAAGGTTCACGCGGAAGACACAGATGTAGGAGATGGAGGTAGTTTGTACTATATACTAGATCCACTGTCTGATTACTTCACAGTCAATCCAATAACTGGACAAATCGAAGTAATTCGCACGCTGGACTATAACGCTAAGAATTTATTCGAGCTGACGGTGATCGCAAGAGACCGGGGAAAACCTTCAAAGAAAGCAACGGCTAAAGTCACAATTCGTATTGAGCGGGATTTGGCGCATTTTCCGCCGAAGGACTCGCAGAATCCAGGTGATAATACTAAGCCCGTTTTCCCTTCAGCAGCTTTAGCTGCAACTGTTCGCGAAGATTTACCGATAGGAGCATTTGTTACTTTAATACATGCTATTGATAATGACCCCCCGGGTGCAAGCAAACAACTTGTTTATTCAATGACTGGGGCTAACGTGGGCTCGTTCAAAATCGACCCTCAAAGTGGACTAGTAACACTTTTGAATCAACTTGATTATGAAACTGGACCTAAGAAACTTAACCTGACAGCGATTGCTACTGATAAAGGTTCCCCTTCACTGTCTGGAACCACATTCCTGATAATCTATGTCATAGATGTCAATGAAAACTTAAACCCGCCAGTATTTGAGCCATCTGTACGGTCTCTTAGTTTACCAGAAGACACACCAATCGGCAAATCAGTGATGAAAGTATCGGCTACTGATAGCGATGCTGGAGTTGATGGCAACCTTGTGTACTCAGCGGTTTCAGGCGAAGGAATCCATTACTTGACTGTTGATAAGACAACCGGTGTCATGACAACCACAGCCTACCTTGATCGCGAGAAAAGAGCACATTTTGAGCTGGTGGTAGCCGCACAAGACACAGGCAATTTTCCTCGTACATCTTACCTCTATCTGATAGTCAAGGTCCAGGCTGTTGATGATCACTATCCCGAGTTCTCTAGCAACTGGTACAACGCTTCTGTCCCAGACGGTTCCCCTGACGGTACTTTTGTCACTGTTCTTTATGCCTTAGACAAGGATAGTCAAAGTCTTACATACATTATTCTAGACCCTGGTGCAAATGATCCGTTCCAGGTTGAAAGAGACACTGGAGTGATAAGAACTCGTCGCACCGTGGATTTGAACGCGGGGGACAAAGAGTTCAATCAGTTGATCATACAAGTCCAGGGTGGTCAAACCAAATCTGAAGCCATCGTCAACATCATGATAACAGGCTCATCTAGCTCTGTCCCGCGATTCAGAACAAGTTCTTATGATGTGAGCGTCAAGGAAAACATTGGGAAAGTAGACAGTCTGATATGTTTAGCGGCGACAGACAGCAATGTTGGAGGGATAACCTACTCGATAACTACCGGTGGGAGTGAAAAGTTTGCCGTGCAAGCCACATCAGGTAGGAAAAGTTGAATCTGATTGAGGAATATAAAACACGCGCGCATGTCTCTGTACTGCGAAATAAACACGTTGGGAGCAGCCGTTTTATATTGCTTTTATGAAATATTTTTTGAGCGATTTTGCGCCTGCAAGTGTGCCTCTTTCCTTTCAGAAAAACACGATAGCCAGCCAATTTGCGTGTGCGTCATATCTCAAATATTTTATTATATTTTATATGATATGATAATAGTCGCCGATCCTGGGGGAGTGGTCGATCATGTACCTTTTCACCCCGCTTTCTGCAAAGGAATACTTAGAAATGTAGGAAAAGAAATTTTTAAGCACATCCTAAAACTCATTTAGAAAGTTGCGCAATATTTATTTCCACTTCATACTACGGTATGACATGCCGCATGGCATTTTGGTATGAGTGGAAAATATACGGTAGTGATTTACAGCATGTACACTGTACGACATGCCGTGGAACAGTTTTGGTACGAGTGGAAAACATACGGTAGTGATTTACAGCATGTA